TTATGTTTATATCTATGCAGACTGTTTCTATCAGATTTTACTTCTCACAGCAGCTGTTGTAAGTCATTCCACCAAGATGGACGTTGGTGATAGGAAACAAAAGCCCCTGTTCTACCGCAGCAAGGATTTTGCTCAGCGTCGTTATGGGCCCCAGAGTCACAGTGCTTCAAAAGGAAAACGAGAGGTGTGTTCAGAGAAGGATCTTGCACAGCAGCGTGGTCCGGGAAGCAAGTGATCCATTTGCCCCAAACGAAAAACCAGCCCACAATCCAACTCAGGCTCTGCAGATAAACAAGGGCTTCATTGATCCTTTCCCTGGGGAAATCTAAATGCAATGTACATATTTAAGTGCCAATCTGTTCTCTGCAGCCAAAGGATACAGCGGCTAAGAAGAATGGAAATCTATGTTCTGAAAGGGATGCTCTGAGCAGCTCATTTGTGCAGATCCTGCACAGTGGGGTGGCTAGTTCACTTTCCCCAATGTTCTCAATAGAGCGGGGCCCAGTGTTTCCTGGACCACCTCTGAGAACAATACATACAGCTTCCTTTGAGTCAAACCAGGCAGCCAATGTATCTTTTCCTATTTAATCTTGCTTCCATTTCTTTTGTTATGACTGACATTGTTTATATACTTCCATGCAGTTTTATTTCTTATTGTGCTCATGTACTGAGTTGTTGCAATGTCGCTGACACCATGTTTTATAGCAAATGACAATACCCTCTGAGTGCTAAAGTTTATCAAGCCCTTAGGACACATCAGCAATGGGTACCAAGCCATATATGGGTTTCCTCTGTCCTCCCAATTGTCACATGTGATCATTATCCCTTTTGCAACTGAAGTTACTAAGGCGTACAGAGTCACCTACCCAAGGTCACACAATGGCAGGATTGAGATTTGGGGCTCCAGAGTCAGCCCCACAAATAACTACCAGATCGTACTGACTTCATTGTTCTGCCCTGGGGTTCTTGAGCCTGTGAGAGAGACAAATGCTAAAAACGATCATGGCACATAATAAATAGTAATAGTGTCCCCTGCCATATGTATTGCCATAGAAATACAGAAAGGATGCCGTTCAGTCTTCCTCCGGGAGCAGAGCAGGGTTTAGCAGAGGCAGATTATGTCAGCTGGGTCTTATGGACCAAGATCTGCCTGCTGATGGCCCAATCCACACTGCAAGGTGCAGCTTTGAGCTGCTTTTCCTTTGTGGGGGCGAAGAGCATGTAGAAGAGCACTTAGCATTTTAACGGTCTTCAATGCAGCATTAAGTACATTCGCATTGCTGTGCGACCGGCACCACCATCCATTTCCAGAACTTTCTCATCATCCCAAACTGAAACTCTGTAGCCATAAAAGCAACTCCCCAGGCTGCCTGGTTCTGTATCCTGTCTCTGTGGGTCTGACGACTGTGGGAAACGCTTACGCGAGGAATCAAACGATATTTCCCCTTTGGAGCCGGGGCTTACCTCACTTGCCACTGGGTGACTCTCAAAAGGGTGTGTACACAACAGGGGTCATAACGTTGTTGGAAGGGTGGGATGAGATGGTGCTGATAAAAGCCCCATGCGGTAAGAGCACAGCGTCAGTGTCTGTCCTAGTGTCTGGGACACACCAGGGGCCCCGTGGACATTGGTGTCTTTTCCCCACACTTTGAGAGGTCCCAACTTAAATGCAGGAAGCATGAATGGTAAAACTTAAGAGCTACCTTTTGCAAAGTGATCACATTGTAGGGGCTGGATCTACCAGAGATCCAAAGTCAGGGCTCTGATGAAAAACAACGAATTGTTTCTGAATCCCACATACTTCCACCCTCACGCCGCCCACCCCCCCACCCCCCCGCCCAGAGATGGCTTCAAGAAATGGGAAGTTCAGAATTTAGTTCTGAGGGCAGATGAGCCACATGAAAGCTCTCTGAGGGCGGGATCAGGTCTGTCCTTGGCAAATCTGTTGCCCTAGGCTCTGGCACAGAGAATGACTCGGCTTCTAGGTTGTAAACGAACCAATACATGGATATATGAACATGTCAAGACTCTTCAGTCTGAAAAGATACCGAATCAGCAGAGATGAATTCAGGGAGGGATGAAGCAGAAGAGCTGGGGTCTCATCTAATAGAGCAACAGACATGGGGGGGACACTCCCAGAGCTGACTCTCAGAGGGCATTTAGAAGAATGGCAGAAATGTGATTTACAAACCATAAAAGTCACCCTGTTCAAGTCTTCTTAGTATGTTCACAGTTAGTAACATCACCCCTGAAAGAAGCATGTCCCACTCTCCCCTTCCCTAGTCCCTGGAGCCCGCCATCTGCTTCCTGTGTCGATGAGTATTTCATCCTGTACAGGTAATTTGTACTATTACCTGTTCAAATGTGGACATTGTACAGGTAAGTGGAATTGTATGGAGGCAGCCTCTGTGACCAGTTTCCTTCAATTAGCACAATGTTTTCAATGCTCACTCACATTATATCAAACCCCATTCCTTTTAACGGCTGAGTATTATGCCTTGGCTTCCGCTGGTTATGGTGGGCATAGATTTGTGTGGAATCTGGAGGTCAGTTTGGGGGATTATTTCCATCTGAACAACATTATTCTTTGGGTCCACAGTCATGGGAGTCTATCTCCAACTTTTTCAATCTGGCTTAATTTCTCTCAAATTTGTAGTTTCTAGGGTTGAAGTGTTGTACTTCTTTTGTTAACTTCATTCCTAAGTATTTTATTCTTTTTGATTCTGATCAAAGGAATTGTTTACTTAATTGCCTCTCTGGATTGTTCATTGCTAGTGTATAGAAATACAATCAATGTTTTACATATTGATCTTCTAACCTGAAACCTTATTGAATTCATTTATCTATTCTGGTGTGTGTGTGTGTGTGTGTTCCGTAGTTTTTTCTACAAACAATACCAGGGTATCTGCAAATAGACCCAATTTACTCATCTGAATTTTTATTTCCTGCCTAGTTGCTTTGGCTAGAACCTCTAGCACAACATTGAACAGGAATGGTGAGAGTAGGAAGTCTGTTTTTTTTTTTTCTGATCTTGGAGGGAAAGCATTTAGATTTTAACCACTAATTATGACATTAAGTATGTATTTTTAGGACCAGGTAAATTCTCATTATCAGGATGTAGAAATTCCCTTCCATGACTATTTTATTGAGTGCTTTCATCAGTGAAAATGGTTGGATTTTCTTAAGTGTTTTGCCAGTCTCTCAGTAAATGGTTATGTGGTTTGGGTTCTTTGTGTTAATATGGTGTATTATGTGAATTGATTTTTGGTTGTTGAACCAACCTTGCATTCTTGGGATGGTTTGGGCCTGGTCATGGTACCCATGACCAGTGCTACATTATTGGGTTCTGTTTGCTAGTGTTTTGTTGAGGGTACCTGTATTCATATTCAGATAGTATAATTGTAGTTTGCTTGTAATGTTTTGTCTTCTCTTGGTATCAGCTTGATACTTCATACCGGCTTCATAAAATGAGTTGGGATGTGTTCCCTCCTCTTCTCACTTTTGTGAAGACTTGGTTTTATTTCTTATCTAAACATTTACTAGATGTTACTATCAAGTCCATGTGGGCTTTTCTTTGTAGGAATTGTTTTTTAATTAGATTTTTTATTTCTTAAGTTGTTTTAAGTCTATTGATATTTTCTATTTCTTCTGAATCAGTGTCTATAGTATGTGTCTTCAAGGAACCTGCCAATTTCTAGCTATATTGTTTTCTTTGTATACAATTGTTCTTAGCATTTCCACATAAGTTGCTGTAGTTAGAATCTATTTTATTTTGGTAAAGTGTCCACTTTTTATTCCTAATTTTTAGTCATTTGAGCCTTCTTTGTCAGTCTGGCTAAACATTTGCCATTTTGTCGATGATTTCAAAGAACTAACCTTTGATTTCCTTGACTTTTCTATTTCTTCTCTCATTTATTTCAGCTTTAATCTTTACTATTTCCTTCCTTCTTCTTGCTTTGGGCTTAGTTTGCTCTTGTTTTTCTAATTTCTTAAGGCAGAAGGTTGGGTTATTGATTCGAGATCTTGCTTCTTTTAAAAACTAGGCATTTAGAGCTATAAATTTCTCAGGGTGCATTTAGAAAAATAACACAAGGTTGTACTGCTTGAACTTTGCAACAACATTATCTAGGCTAAACAAAACAAAACAAAACAAAATTGAGATCAGTGATTTTCCAAAATTTTGGCATCACCTAAGTTTGGGACTAGTTGGCTTATAGATGGGAAGCAGCCTCTGCTCCTGCAGGGTGGCTCTGGGCCTCCCACCTGCGAGTGGGGGTATGACTCCCCCGGGGAAAGTGTCGCCCTTGAACTTCCAGGTTTGGTTTGCCTGGAACCTCTTCAGGCCCATATTCTGCAAAGCAGGGTGACATCAAGACTTGCAGGCCTTTGGGGCCTTTTTTTCCTTCATGGAAAATACCAAGAGTCATATTTTACAACCACATCGACACAGAGGTATATAATACAAACGGATTCATCCCTATACAGTCATCATTATTATATTCACTTTTTCTTCGGAGGTGAAAAGAAATTAAATTTCAACCATTGCTGGGTGCCTCGAACAGCATGGCAGTCCCCAGATACTGCCTGCTGGAGAAGACGGCCAGGTGTAGTGCCCGCCCGGGAGAGAAGGGTCTCTCAGTACAGCAGCGGCCTCCGAAGAGGCTGGTGAGGAGGAGGCCTGGAATCCAACCCTCTGGGGCCGGAGCCAGCGTAATTGCCAGGACTGTCGCCATGAACCATTTTCAGCAGTTGGGAAGAAATAAAAATGCAATTGGCCAGGAGATGTGCATCTTCATATTAAGTAAAAGAACTCCTTTCTGTCTACACGGCCTTGCCCTCTTAATAGTCTTGGGTAAGTTTTGGAAGGAGGGAGAAGGAGGAGCATGAGATGAGCCTCAAGTCTAACCCTGTTAGACTGCAGAATAATCAATAATGGGACAATGCGCCATTGTTATTCAGAAGTACCGCCTCTGTGCACAACCCTGAGCCTTCAGCAGCTCCTCACACAGAGAAAGCCAAGACAGCAACTGTCAGGGGATCGATATCTTCCAGCTTAGGAGGAATCGATCCCCAGCAGAGTCTCAAGGCAGCCTTCTCCCTCTCGGGGGTTTGGGTGAGCACCTAGCCCTGACACAAGGGGTGCAAGGGAGTGGGGGGACCGGAAGGGGCTTCCGAGGCCTCTGCCTCTCGGCTTCCTTTGGTACATGGGTAGGTTGGGAGGTGGGTGCTGCACAGACTGCCTGCATTCACGATGTGCCCAGGCCAGAGCTGGGATTCGGAGTTCTAGCCCCCTAATGTCCAATTTGGCAGGACCTTAGTTTTATAAAATCTAGTTGTCAAATATTTAGGACTCCTGTAACTGGCCGGGGACTCTGCTAGCAATGGGTTGGTCAGGGTCTTGGCAGAAAGGCAATGGAGGAGTCCATGAGGGTAACTGTGGCGTGGTTAAAGATGAACCGTTGGCCATGCTGCGGGTCAAGGAACCAATAAGGGAGGACCAAACTCCCAAGGAAAGAAAGGGAAGATGGTCCCGGGCTGTGGAGGAGGGGCTGCCCCACGAGAGAGGTCATCTTGGAAAAAGGCTCATGTCTGGGCCAACCCATGGCTCAGAGGGAAGGAGCCCGAGGATTCACAGCTTAGTCCCTCTCTCTTCGCACCCTGACCCTCGACTTTGTGCCTTTCTAACTGGAGGCCAGAGGGTGGTGTCTGATTTGGCGTGTTTCCATTTTAGAAAATGCATTCCAGAAACAGACCCGGAGCCCAACCCAACTAGGAAGTAGGACCACAATGGGAGGCTCCGGCCGGAGTTCAGAAGAGGCAGGAGGACAGTCCACAGTGGTGAGTGGACAGCATGGGCCCAGCAGGATAAAGGTGGGGATCCCTGAGCTGGGCACTCGGGCTTGGGCTGGGGTGGGGGGAACAGAGAAACCCTGGGAATCAGCCCCGGACACAGGAGCTCAGGGTGCTGTGGGGGGGTGGGGGAAGGGAAGGAGCCAGGGACCAGTGAGGAAGGTCAGGGAAGGTTTCCAAAGAAAGAAGCCTGGGCAGAGTCCTGGACGTGGACCTGAGTCAGGCGGAGGAGGAGCCGCCTGTAAAAGCACAGACACGGGAGGCAGAGTATATATGAGAAGAAATAAAAGCCAGGCTGCAGAGCTTGGGCTTCAACCAGAAGGTAATGGGAAGCCATTAAACACATTATGGAGCCACAGGCAGGCGATTAGCATGACGTCTTCCTAATGACGGGCTCTGGCCACTGCACCTTTTCCTTTACGCGGTGGACACTGGGCCCTGTCACACCCTGGATCAGTTCCCATGTACTGATCGGGTGGGTGTCTTGGACCTGGTGGCCTAACCCTGCCAGAATCCTAGACCCTCAATCCCCACCACAATCTGGTCGTGCAAATAAAATGTCTCCTCAGGCCGAAGGGGGTAAGCCGCCCGCGACCCGTGGCATTGCCTTCCCTGTGATTTCACTCTGTTTTCAATTCTGTACTCATTCATATGGCCAGCTTTAAACCCCAATGAGTTATTTTCCTGGTTAGTCTATTCATCTCGAAGTTGAAAACCTCCCCAAAGTAATGGAAACTCAAGTTCTAAGGCAGTGAAATGACTCTGATTTACTTTGGAGAAATGTTTTTCCTTTTAAAATGATTTATTACCGTTTGCTGCTATTCAAACTTCTTTTAGGCTCTTATAGCTGAATTAAAAAAAAATACATTTGTTTTCTTTAGTAACAGAATTAAATAAATCATAGAAAGACCAAACTCCATAAATGTAATAAAAGCACGGATTTGCTTATATCTCTTATAATTGAGATTCAGTTTCACTTTCTCCCTTTCTCTGCTTACTAGTCAGAATCCCAGCACAAAAAGGTGTCGTGGAGGTTTCATTGCTATCGGGGTTGGAGGGAGAAATGAGGCACATGGGTTTCTCTGTACCTCCTTTGTGCACGTCCTGTGGTAGTACAGAGGTCTTTCGGTGGATATTCAATACTGGTAGATTGAATCTTGGCAGAGTTGGAAAATAAAACACAATGTTGCATTCAAGTATATGTAATAACTTTAGGCAAACCGAAAGTTAAAGATGCACTCCTCCGCTGTCACCGTCTAAGATCGATGTGGGGAAAGAAAGCCAGCAGCTCTGTAGATCCACACGTAGGCAGCTTGCCCCTCGTTTCTGGGTTTGAATTCCAACCCTCATGCTAAGTGCCTCAAATGCCGATTGTACCCATTTAAGAGTGGGCATGGTTATATTTTGCACTTAGGAATGCACATACTTTCATGACGGTCTCAACTCCAAAGAAATGCTTCAGTCTGATTTACAAAATCGAGTGCCATTCTTAGAGTCGCTGCCAAGCTGCTTCAGAGCTGGAATTTCCAAGGGAATCAGAAATTAGCCTTCTATTTTCTTTGTTATGGTTCCTCATCTATCATTTTAATAAATGTATCCTACAGTGATCACGAACCTTTTCAAGAGCAATAACAATTGAAGTCTTTCTGGAAGCCATGCCTGTCTCCAAAAGAAACACTTTATTTTTCTGTGGCCTTCAGGAAAATAAAAATATCAAGGATGATATCAAATCCCTAGCCTCCTAATATCATTATTTACCAGGCTCTGAATATCAATCTGGAGAATGTATTCTCGTGTATATGAATCTCCCAGCAATATGGGATTTCTTCCCTTTCACATACCTTAGTGCAATGTCTGTATTGTTTCAAACATTTCTTGTTCCTATTTTGATTCTTGATAAGCAAAGAGGAAAGATGCAGGGCTGTTTTGTTTTTCCTCATTAAACTCACAGGGTTTTTTTTTTTTTTTAAAGCTTGGAAACTTCAGCAGAGTTGGGTTATGTGTGAACTGGCAGCCAGCAGCCCCGTTAAGGCTCAATTTATTAAAAATAACCACATGGCAACAAAGATCTTTCTTCTTCATTCTGTTGACTCAGTAAAAAGCCAGGCTGAGAAAATAAATATCAAACCTTGGAAAAGCCTGTCTAATAAACTCAAAATGCTAGATCAGGTAAAATGTCCTTTTAGAAAAAGTTCTGGACTATTAAGAAAAAAAAAAAAAATATATATATATATATATATATATATGTAAGAAAAGAAAGATACAATATTTCACTCCAAGGACCCGCAATTCAGAGAAAGAATGTTGGTTGCACCAAATCCCCGAAGACAAATGATGGAGACTGGAAACCCCCTTTCCTTCAAATGTTGTAATTCCCGGATGCATTTTGAAAGCACCTGAATCAATCTTCAAGACCTGAAGGCAATTTCATTTTGTGGAAACCTCCTTCTACCCCCTAATTTCCCAACCAAGTCAATGGTGGATCGCGGAGATACATGATCCTGGGCCTCTCATTTCCTGCTGATTTCCTGAGGCTACTTCTAATAAAGAAGGAGAGCTGGAGGGACCAGAGACTCACAGGAGCCTAATATAATCACTTCTGTCAAATGAAAATTCTGACTCATATTAATTCACTGTGACTGATCATTGGGAATTCAAGAAATAAACTGGACCTACCCTGTTAATTTAAATTATTCCAATGTGCCTGGTGTACTGGAAAAAGAAAGGAGCCTGAATTTCTTCTCTTTGCCTGGGGGTGTGGACTGAACCATCTGGCTCGGGGGTAGGGGATGAACATTCTCCTTTGGGGTGATGGGAAATAGGGTCTGATGCCCCTACCTTGACCTGGAGTGGTACCCTTTTCCCAGGACTCTCTAGGTTGAAAAGGAAGGTCTGATTGAGATAAAATTATCACCGTCACAGACCTCTTTATGGTTTTCTTTTAATCACCACGCCTGGATAAAATTGCCTATTGATTGACCTTAAATGAAATCTACTTTAACCTGGGAACTCCATTAAGAGAATAATTCAGGAGGCTGCCTCTCTACCAGGGCATTGTTAACCTGACTGCCTGGGAATCCATGATGCACATCGTTCCGGGAGTCTCGTAATTCCTAACAAGTTTAAATATTTATCTGAACTCCTTGAAACCTTGCTGTCTTCTTCTTCCTCAGCCCCGATTTCATCCTTCTTTTCTCCTTAGAGAAATACAGTTTTGCTTTCCCTCCCTTAGAATCTGCTTCACTGGGGTCTTCTGGACTTGATTCGGGGGCAGTTCCTCGACTTCCCTGATCCCTGACATCATCTTGACTGTCTCTCCCGGGGACCAGGGAGCACTGGAAATGCAGCTGGGCCTCTGCAGCTTCCCATAAACTGTACCGAATGCATTTTGACTTGTACTGGGCGGGTCTCGTCTGAGAAGGCACTGTCTGCTCTGGAATTACTTATTCTGGAAGAGCCAGACCAGCATCGCCTACTGGAGATTTTTGTTATTATTATTATTTTTTGTCCTGGACAACACAGAATGGATCAGGGTACTGGAAGCCAGGCAGTGGGGACAGAGGACCTCACCTAATGTCAGCAGAGGGGCATGAGAATACCTGCCTCTTCATATGCAAATAGGGACACATGCTGCAAATCTGTCATCTGTCTGTAGACATGAAGGGGGATTTGCATGACATCCGAGAGGACACTGACAGAACTAGGGAACTCATACTCCATCCGTCACCACACGAGGAGCCTGAATCATCGTGGCTCATTGGCAGTGACTGAAGTTAGGGGGGAAACCTACGTTGAAGTGGGCTGTGAGAAAACTCTCTCAGAATGGAGAAGCAGCCCCCTTGCCCCTGCTCCCTGTCTGTCCTGGACAAGGCTGTGTGCTCCTCCTCTGTGCTGGATTCAGCACAAGGTGTATGTCCTATTAGTGACACTCGTCACACTTAATAAATAATTGCCCGTAGAGTTGCTTAGTTTCCCACGGGATTCTACCATGGATGGGTGCAGAGACCGGGTGGCCTTGGGCTGCTCCTAGGACCTGGCTCAGGGCTCAGGGCTTGGCCCCGGGTAAGCAATCAATAAACTGCATTGTTGAATGAATGAATGAGACATCCATAGTGCTCAGAAGAAATACTCCCCTCTGAGAATGATGTATTCTAGGAATCAGAAGAAAAGTTTACAAGATAATGCCAGAAGACACAGCCTGTGGGGTCCTCAGAAAGAAGGGGGGCCAAGGTGGACGAGCCACCTGGGCACAGCCCTGATCCGGAGGTGGGAAAGGGGAGATGAAGAGGTCTCGAGAGGAAACCAGTTTTGCAGTAGCAGAGTTAAAACTCCCTCTTGTCAAAAAGGGCAGGATCAGCATCACGGGAGGCCAGATCAGTGACCCAGGTGTGAATTTGAGAATCCCTCCCAGAATGCAAAGCAGGGAGGGGAGAACCTCGGGAGAAAGGGGTTTAAGAAGGTGAGAGCTAAGACTTCTTCCTGGAGAAGGCCTCAGGGAGCAGGTGGAGCTGGAGCTTTCAGCCTGCTTCGGGCAAGATCAAGGGCACGGGACCATTTCCAGACGCATTCTGGCAAAACTTAAAGTTTAAGGAAAAAGACAAAGATCACACGAGTCTGAAACAAGGTGGGACAAGACACACCATGGGGTGGAAGGAACAGCTTTTCCCCTCTCCTCCCTCAACCCTCGCTGTCCCGCCCCCCCCTTCCCTGAGTGAAAGGAGAGACCTGGTGGCGAGGCTGGAGGGGAGCCTGAGCCCTCGGCCCCTCCCACTCCTTCCCTTGGGGACCCTCCTGCCTGCAGAGGGCCCCCCCTCACTCAAGGCATCATGTGGAACCCGCACCCCCAACACCATCTGGTGCTTCCTTCAATTTTTAAACAAATACTCACTGAGCCTGCACTTTTGGCTGGGCCCCATTCCTGGGCTGAGGATTTAGCAGAGAAAGTTCTTGCTAGGAGAGATGGATGGAGAAGATAAACAGAGACACAGACACGTCCGTGATCCTCAGCCGGGCATTGCCAAGAGACAGAACCAAGCGAGACAGAGGCTCCGGAGTGGTTAGTTGGAGGAAGGGGTCGTACCTTATCAGAGGGGGTGGCTCAGAAGACCAACTGGACAAGGTGAGGGAGGTGGGCACAAGCTGTGTGGACGCCGGGGCAGAGCAGCAGCCTGTGCAGAGTTGGAGGAGGAAGAGTGCCTGGTCCCCTTCAGGACATTGTGCCCAGGAGGTTGGATCGAGGCAGAGAGGGGGGTTGCACGGGTAGTGGGGGGTCGGTGGGTGTCGTGTGTGCACATGCGCACACACGCGTGGGACTCAGTAGGTCAAGGTCCAGGGGGGGACCTTTGGATTTCCTTTTAAGTTGGATGAGAAGCCACCAGAGAGAGCACTGCACGATGCTATTGCGGTTGGAAAAGACCCCGTGCCTCTGCTTGCCACCGTCTGCTGGCCTTCTAGCAACCCGCGCCCCATGGTGATGGCGGGCGGCCCACACCTTCCTCCTGGTGGGCCCCCTGCACCCGGGACGGCCCCAGGCAGAGGCAGTGCTGTTGAGACGCTGTTTGTTGGCAGAATGAATTACAGAAACAACAAGGTGGAGGAAAAGAGTCAATGGGAAGCAGCCAGGCTTCTAGATTCACAGTGGGGGCCAAGTGTGGGTCCCCCCAGTTCTGCGGCGTTCAGAGGCACCCAAGCTCCCGTGCTCCCTGACTCCTTTTGGTTATCTCGTTGCACATCTTGTGACCAACCTTCTGTCATCTCTGGGTGTCTTTGCTGCCCTCCTCCTCCTCACGAGTCAGATCCTCCTAGGAGCTCCTGGTGTCCTTGAACTCACCAAGGCAGTGCCCAACTCAGGCCAGACTGTGCGGCCCCCTCCCCCTAGGGCCCCTCTTTCTTGTCATCTGTGCGTCCTGGACTGAATGTCTTGTTTGGCACGAGGTAGGCCAGTGGCCAGTATTAATTAGATGTCTACTTGTGGGAGCCGCTGAAAGCCAACGGTATAGCAAGATTAAAAATATGGAGAGAGGTTAAAACATTTAACAAATAACATAAGCGAAAAGACTTTTTTTTTTCTTTTTGTCTTAAAAAAAGCAGGGTGGGACTATCTAGTTCAGACAAAATAGGATTCAAAGGAGGAAAAGCATTATTTATTAAAACAAAGGGAGACATTTATACAGATAAAAAAGAAATAATCACACAGAGTTTACAGACAGCCTGCACCGACCGTGTGCCAGATAACATTCAATACCCACTCCTAATTAAAAGGGGGAGGAAGCCTCCGTGTTGGGTCTGTAAGTCCCCTCAGCATGATAAATAATATCTAGCATAAACCAGCAGCGACCGTCATATCTAATGGAGTCTGCAGAAGTATTATCATTAAAACCACGAGAAATCCCAGGGTCCCTGGTGATATCAAGAGAGTAACCCGCAAATCTCTTAGTTAATCAGCTTTGGTAAAGTGGATGGGTTAGTAAACAATAGGGAGAAGGGGACAACTTTACCTATAGCAGCAACAGCCAGTTAGAAGATACAAAGGGAAGAGAAAACCCCACCCTCCTAACTGCATGAACAGACCTGAGATACGAAGAAGCAGCGTTATAAGAAATAGGTGGGATCCCTTCCATGAAGACTAGAAAAATCTTTTTTGGGATGAACAAAATAAGATATGAACAAACGAGCCAACCTATCATTTTTTTCTAGAAGAAAAAAGTCTGAAGTGCATGAAAATGTCAGTTCTCCTCGAATTAATGTGTCAACTTATCTCCTTAATAGCCTTTGGATTGAGTTTTCTTTTGAAACCTGTGACTAAATGATGCAGACATTCGCTTGGCAGAATCAACAGGTGAGAAAAACAAAGAGGATCAGAACAAAAATTCAAAAACATTAACTTTGATTATATGAGAGGAGATGGGCAGAGGGAAATTCATGTTTGAATTTTTTCCCCACTAATTTCTATGAATAGGAATAAATTTCATATTAGAAAAGAAAATTCATACAATGTTTACATATTGGCTAGTACTTTAAAAAATGGGAGGTTTTGTGTCATCTGTGTGGAAAACTTTACTGTAATGCCATTTGCCCCCCCACTACCCCCCGCAGTAACCCAGAGAATCCCGGTGGAACGAAGTAAGAAGTAGGAGGTGTCCTGAGCACTTGTACTGGTATTGAATCAAGAGCTTCAATCAAGTGTGGAAGGAAATTAGTAACCTGTTGGTTTATCCCTAGCATCATAAGAAATTGCCATAAGAGAATTTAGCAGCACTGATTTTTGGAATCTGATTTAGGTCATTTTCAACCCCATCAAAAAAAAGAAAGAGAGAGAGAAAAGAAAAAAAGTTTTTCCTTCTGAATATACACACAGCTGATGGATTCCTCTGTTTAACTTGGCCACAAGCAAAACCACACTGGATGGAAATAATGGCTTCAGAGAAAATGACAGAACCCATAATTTATAGGGAGCTACCAAGGAATTTAGGCTCGAGGTCAAACCAATGGACTGTCAAGAGTAATATCATGCCTGGTCCTTCCCGGTGGTCAGTACTTGAAATTCAGCCAGGCGGTTCTGTGAAATTCACCGTGAAGGACAAAGGACAGAATCCTCCTCCCAAACCAGAAGGTGTTGGTGGTGCGGTGTCAACTCGTATTACCTAGTTAAAAATTGATGATCCCAATGTCTACCTGCCCAGTCTATCTGCCTCAACCATCCTTTTATGAATCTTAAGCATCCCGGCCATGAAAGTGGCTGGCTCCTCTTATCAAGCACCACAGAGGGGGAAGAAGAATGTTCCCAAGGTAGCCTTGCTATCAGAACCATACGAGAACATGATAATCAAAGACAAACCTAAATTTTCGTTACGGAGTTTCATTTTCCAGCTTCAATTTATTTTCCTAGGATCAGGGGTAGGCACTAGAATTTCAACCACAAGTTATGGTTAGTGAGGACGTAGAGTCCTGGGGTAGATATCATATTAAAAGTAATTTCTTTTGTGATCTCCCCAGTGGGTCTTAACCGAGGATTGGTGGGCAGGTCCAGTAATGGGAGAGCTCCCAAACTGTCACCCCTCAAGTGGAGTCGAGTCTATCTGAAGTGGGGAGAAACCTCTATTTCTTTAAACTTCTTTTCCATCTATTTTAGGTGGATATGTACCTCCTGGAATATGAAGTTCTTTGAGCAAGACGCTGGGAAGTCCAACTCTGAAGACCCAGAGGAATTCCTTCGCAGTAGGCGAGGCTTGAAGTGTTGGGAGAGACTCCACTGTGTCCTAAGTTCAGAGCGGATGTGAGAATCCATGTTTCTTTGGTTGCCAGAAAGGTCCCCCAAAGCAATGTGCCATTTAATAGCCTCAAAGTTCCTGGTTGCATGAGCGATTGTGATCTTCCTTTCTCAGAGGACTTGATCACTTCTTTTGCCTTCGGGGATAGATTGATTGACAGATGGCCTCAAGTCCACTCCCTTCCTGGATTCAAACCCTTTGCTGGCTGTATTGGCATTTCTTCCTCGTCGTATGAGGGCTGGAGTGGGGGACTGTGTCCCTTGTCCTGACTTCAGGCTCAGTCCTGTGATTTACTTTGGCCCAGAGAGTGATCACAGATGTTAACTCTTTTGCTTTTGCTGTGAGCATGAGCCCCATGGAGCAAAGACGAATTGACCCAGTTGTCCCAGATGAGGGCCCAGAGTGTGAGAGAGCACGGCCAAGATTGCAAACTTGCCTGATCCTGCTGCAGTCAACCACAGACGGGAGAGTGAGTGGGCCCAGGCAGTTACCACAGATCCCGGAGCAAAAAAAAAAGAAAAAAAAATGGTGTTTACTAGATGCCATTGAGGTTTTGAGGCTGTGTGTTACGAAGCACTGTTGGGACAACATGATTGATAAAAGTCGGAAATTACTCTTATATTTGGTTCAAGGAAGAAACATGAGCACCAAAGGCAATTTTTTCAACTCACAAAAATTCTATGTATGTGTAGTGTAGAGCCTGATGTTTTGACACATACATACATTGTGAGGTGTCTAGATTTAACTAGTTATCATACGTACTACCTCACATAACACCAAAAATTTACTGTCTTAGCAGTTTTCAAGTCTACTAATGCTGTGATTAACCATAGCCGCCATATTATTCGAGAGCTCTCTTGAGCTTCTTCCTCCCCTCTAACTGAAAGGAGTCCAGAAAAATTAAAAATGCTGAAGGTCTCCTTTTACCTGATTTCAAAATATACTACAAAGCCACAGTCATCACCACAGCATGGTACTGGCATAAAAACAGACACACAAAACAACTGAAGAGGCTCGAAAGCCCAGAATAAATCCATATACCTATGGTCAGTTGATTTTCCCCAGATGCAAAGCACACTCAATGCGAGAGGATAGTCTCTTCAATAAATGGGGCTGGGAAAATGAGATATTCACATGCAGACAGGTGAAACCAACCCTGGACCTCACACCATGTGCAAAGATAACCCCAAAACAGATAAAAGACTTTCACATAAGACCAGAAACTGTAAAAACACTAGGAGGAAAGATAGGGGAATAGCTCCATGGTAGGGTCTGGGCGATGACTTTTTGGATAAAATCCCCAAACATAGGCAAAAGGAGGTGAAAATAGACCAGTGAGATCGCATGCAGCTGAAATGTGTCTGCAGAGCAGAGGAGACCACCCACAGGGTGAAGAGGCCACGGAGGCAAGGGCCACACGTCTGGTAAGGAGCTCAGGTCCCAAATGAAGAAGGAGCACGGGATGTGTTTTTGCTCAATGTCTATGTCATGTGTTCCCTGATGCTGTGGGCCCCTGACCTTGGGTGTGGGCACCCTGCTGTCTTTATTTGAATATTGGTAGCTTTACTTCTTGTGTTTTAATGTGACTTTCCTATCTGGGAAACAGCCTGGTGTTTGGATGCATTTTGTGGTTGGAAGGGAAATCAGATTAGAGGTCCTGCTTCTCACAGCTCCAGGGTAAACTTGGATGGGAACAAAATCAGAATAATAAAGGCTGATGTTTACAGGAGAACAGCTTAAAGGAGTCTGGTACACGTTCACTCATTGCTTCAGGGTAACTCTACTATCACCCCCATTGTATGAATGGGGAAACTAAGGTCTAGGGAGGTCATGTAACTTGCCCAAGGACACTTCAAGAAATCCAGGCAGCCAAGTGCCACAGCCCATGACCTTGACCACAGCATTATCTATCGGCTCCCACAGACCTGGAGCCCATGGGGCCCATATGCTCCGGGCAGACATAAGCCCCATGCATTTCTCCCTTCAGCAGGCCAGGGAAGTTCTTGCCCTCGCTGGCCAAGAAAGAGCACTTTCCTGAATGTTTCCCCCCAGGACTAACAGCAACTCCATGAAGATCCCTTGTCGAAGATCCCTCCTGGCTCCTTCCCCTCCTGTGATCATATCAGCCTACATTTATTGTTCTGAGTGTTTGCAAGAAATAAAGCTTTACTTGTATGTACCTCCATCAATGTTTTCTTTGGGCCCTGACTTTGCCGTCATGGTAGCAATTCATCTTGGTGTGGAGGTTGGAGGTGGGGGCTGGGAGTGGGCAAGGTCAGGGCATGAGGATCCGTCTGTCCTTGGTAGATGGCTCTGTCCAGGAGATGGCCAGTTTGCTGCCGCTTGAGCTGTCAATCACTGCCTCATGCTGCAGGCTCTCTAGCTGTATTTGTGCCACTATCAGGAAGCGTCACACTGTCCCTGCCACACTGGGCTGTGGAAGATCAGGAGACTGTCTTGGCGACATCTGTCTGGATGTTTCAAAGGGCTGCCTGGCTCTTGACTGGCTTGTACACCTCCAGGGCTCTGCCTGGGGATGCAAGTTCCAGAACATTCTGTAGGGAGGTAGAACCCCTTGATAGGCATCTTCCAGGGTCCCCTCTTAATCTCCCCACTGGCTTGGTGTTCTCTCCTGTCACAGTTTCTAGTTGTCCTCTGCGTAGATTCCCCACATCTCCAAGCTAGCTTGGCGTTTTTGCCCTGAACAATCAAGAACCACAGTCAATGCTCACTAAATTATTAACTTCAAAAAATGAATTTCCCTGCTGGGTGAGACCCCAAGCAAAAATCGATCTGCCCGTCCTCCTTTCCAACTGAAGTCTCGAGATCAACGTAGATCTTATATGGATCAAATATGACAGGTAGCGCTGACCTCTGACGCTCAGTAGAGAGATGGAAACTGAAACCTGCCCTCTGACTAAATCAGACTAAGTACTAACAGTTCACAGAATTTTCTAGAAGACTGGCCCAGTGCCCAGCCACTTTCTAATGATCTTAAACAACAACAAAGCCATTAATAATTCCAGCTAACTTATGGAGGGCTGATGACTTGCCAGGGGCCTTAAAAGCTTTTTCATTTACTCACTCATTTTGCCTTCCCCGGATCCCGTAGGAAGGTCCTTTCATCATCCTACCTCACAGGTGCGGAATTTGAGTGGGCAGGAAATTTTCCCAAGAGGGCAACACAGCCAAGGGGCAGAGGCAGGATCTGAATCTAGGGGGTCGGGCACTGCTGCGGCCCTCCTTCTCTGCTGTTTGAGACCGACCTACTTGCCAGACACTCCCTCAGCTGTGTTCAAAAGAGGAAAGAGAAGAAAAAAGCCTTGCTCTGGGAACGCAAGGCAGCCAGCACACACACACACACACACACACACACACGTCTGAACTAAAGGCAATGCGACAACGCTGTGTATACACACAGGTAGAGGGAGCATCTTTCGTCAATGCTAAAGCCTTCTAGAACTTCCATCACACACCTGTGCAAACTTGGTTCCCGGGATGCTTTGTAGGATCTCTTCATGACATCTCACTGCTGCAGTACTTAGACACCAGCACCTCTCCTGCTCGGACGTAAGGAAACTGAGACCATCATGGGGCCTCTGTGAGCAGGTCGCATACACGTGCCGGGGGTTCTGGGAGTGTGTCACTGAGGTCCACAGCTACCCATAGGTGGTGCAGGTCTGCCCACCCACCTGGAGATGGTTTCCCTGCCAGATCACAGGTGTCTACTGCCCCTGCCCGGGGTAGATGCTTACCTGTGTGCACAGGGGCACGGGAAGTTGGCTGTGTGGAGAGGCTCATCCTGATCCGCTGTCCTCCTGTGACCCCCCCCCCCCACACCACCACACACACACACTGGTCACACAGATACCCTGGGCACGTCAGGCATTTTGATCCCGTGCTCTTTTCTGTGTTTGAAGTGGTGACTCAGCTCTTTTTAACTGTTCAACAAATGTTTGCCAAATCAACTTCACTGCGGGGCTGACGCCCTCCTGACGGACAGTGGAAAGTGGTTTATGTGTCCTTCAACAGTCTCGAGCAGACGGTTCACGCTGTTTGGAACACGACCCAGTAAGGTATCAAATCAAGACGGCTTCCGTAAGTGGGATCTGTGTCCCCTGGAAGATATAGTCCTTACTCACTAGCCGTAGTCGCTTTCTATAGAATAAGTCCAGGAAAAAGCCCCACGCATTCCGCAGCAGGTGCCTCAGCTGCAGGGGACAGTGTCACAGCCTTCAGACTCACCTCTGTAGCCTGTGTCTTTTTTACCTTCGGCACCAGGGCCTTTTCCACCACCATGGGGGCCACCTGGCCAGCACCAGGGGCAGCCCTGCGCCAGTGGGATGGGTGCTGGGGGTAAATGCACCAGCTTCAGCCTCTTGTGGACAAGGCGGGGGGGGGGTGTTCTGCACACTCCCCAGAAGGTCTTGGCAGTGTTGAGCCCGTCACTCATGGCCACAACCTTGACAATACTCCTTCTGTTGGTTGGCTTCTCCTTCTTCCCTGATCCACTCCCCTGCTTCTTCCTTCTTGTTTTTTAGAATCCTCTCCTAATAAAGCCCTTGTATCTAAGCCCTGGCCTCAGGGTCTGATTTCATGGGATCTAAACAAGGACACTGTCTGACCATGGACAGAAGCTAGAAGCCCCGGGTGGCTGGGCACCCATTAGTGTGAGAGGTGATGGCCGGAGCTGGGGCAATGGCCATGGAGCAAGAGATTGGAACAGAGCCCTCAGATACACAGGAAGCAGAACAGGAGGTTTGTACTGGTAGATTGGATGAAGACGGTGAGTGAGGATTTACAGCCTGGAAAGGAAGAGGAAGGAGGAAGGACAGGTGTTAAGGGAAAGAAAGGTCACTTCAGTTTTGGGCATGTTGACTTTGAGACATCTGTAGTGACAGACTGTACTACGGAGGGAGACATAAATCATGACCTATTTGATTTTTGATTTGTCTAGTTGATCCTTGAGTGCCTCAGACTGCCATCCACCTATCCATCCATCCATCCATCCATTCATCTACCCACCCATCTATGCATCTATCTATGCATCCATTCATCCATCCACTCATCCACCCATCCACCCATTCTTCCATCCACTCATCCATCCATCCATCCATCCATCCATCCATCTATCCATCCATCTATTCATTCATCCATCCACCCATCTATTCATCCATCCATCCACCCATCTATTCATCCATCCATCCATCCATCTATCCACCCATCCATCCATCTATCCATCTATCCATCCATCCACCCACACACCCATCCATCCCTCCATCCACCCATCCCTCCATCCCCCCATTCATCCACCCATCCACTCATACACCACCCATCCTTTTATCTAATCCTTCCTTCTGTCCTCCTCCTTTCTATCTATCCATTTATCCTCCATTTATTGATTGAATGTTTTGTATGTACCAGTAAACGTTCTCAGTCCCACGGATTGTCTTTTCCTGCATTCTCCAGTAACCAGCTTGAGGCAAAGATTATACTTCTTATGTTTCACTTGGGTGGAGCAAGAGCCCAGGGCTGCGAGGCTGAGGGGAGGGAGGGCAGGTGAGCATGACTGCGAGTGACGTGTGGCTGGGCTGATTCCCCTGAGGGACGAGCTTGGGGTGTCAAGGCTAGTTGCTCAGCAGGTGGTCTGCAGGGCGGACAGACTCCTCTGGGTGTCATGCAAGTAGAAAAGATTCCTCAAGGTGCTTCCCGAGAGCCAGGGAGGAGAGGTGATTTACGTGCCGTTTCCCACTGGTCAGTCTGTGCCACGGAGAGTCAGCTCCTTTGGGTGTGCAGGACTTCAGATGGACGGCCACATCTGTGGTTGTTCAGGGTGCCGGCTCCCATCTCCTGGACCATGCCACTTCTTTCCCATGGGAAGTGGCAGAAACTCTGGACATGTGACCAGAGTTGGTCTGCTGCATCAGGTAGAGCCAGGTGGGCCGCAGTGGGCTCAGCAGGTCATGGCGGAGGCTGGGCGAGTCAAGTGGCCGGCAGGCCCAAGGGAATCAGGGTGATTCCAATGGAGGGCAGAGCAGAACCGAGACACAGGCTTTACCCTGATGAAAAACACATTTGAGAGACAGAACCTGGGTGGGGGACATATCTCAGGCATTTGCAGGTTTGATGACATTGTCACTGAGACATGAATAAATGAAAAGGAGATGCCAGCCACAACATTCCAGGCAGAGGGGAAAAGAGGTGCAAAGGCCCTGAGGTGGGAGCCATCTTGGTATTGTGGGGGAATTAAAAGAATGCCACCATGGCCACCGAGGAGGGAACATGGGAGAGAGAAAGGAAACAGGCAGGACCCAGATCCCACAGGGCGTGGCAAAGCACCTGGAGCCACGCTGCTACTGAGATCATCTTCCGTCCCCAACTCCTCCACGTGGAGGGTGACAGGGTTCTAATTAGGAATTAGGTTTGGAAGTTGGGTGGGGACGGTGGCATCCAGGAGTCAAGCCATAGGCTGAAGGAGCTTTTAAGCAAACTGAATGTGTAATATGTGCAATGATATATTAACTGCTACAATTTATAGGAAATCATTATCAGTAATTATTACTATATCAAGAAAGCAATTACTAATACAATTTTGGGAAGCTCTTGGCTACCGACAGCTCATTCCCTATTGCTGCCTTCTGATAGTAATTCCACAGTGCCACGGAGCACGGGATGGAGAAAACAGATGTAATCTAATAAAGGTCGCCTCCCATCTTTCCTGCGCCATGACATGCCATTTACCGAATCATCCATTATTGCCCAAAGAACAAAGGCGAGCTTCACCAAGCAAAGAAATGATAAAGTTCACTCGAAAATTGGGGAAGCAATTGCAAAACTACTTGAGGCCAAGGGCACAATCGTGCACTGAAATCAATAGCTGTCAGCCAACGAGGCGGAGGGAGGAGAATGAATAAACATGGTAAATAATGCGGAGGAACCGATCCGGGCCAAGCAGCCAATCAAAGAGAAGTCGAGGAGCGCTTGAAGAGCCTCCTCAGCGGAGCCAGAGGTCTGAGTGGGAATCTCTGCTCCACGTGTCCTGGCACCTGTGAGGACCTCAGCTGCCTTTCTGACCCGTGGGGGAGTCGTGCCGCGAGCCTGGTGGGCTACTCGGTGACAGCATCATCTCCAAGGTCCTGGGCCTCCTTCTCTGCTTTCTCCTTCCACCATA